ATTATAAGAATGAATAGCAATTGAAAACAAGTGGAAAGGACTGTCTATGACAGAGTTCGATAAGCAATCCTGGTGGGTGGTGTTATCTGTCCACGAAAGATAACAGATGTAAGCAAAATACTTGTAAACACATTACGAATTATCCGGTAACAATGCGTTATATACCCCGGTGAATTACGAATGGTAACTTTTAGGTCTATTTATCGATCAATGTAATATGCCTATTTCCTATTGTACAATTATTACGTAACTGAACTATTCATATTCGTATTTCTCTTATCATTACTTATTATCATACGACTCTTGAGTTATAATCAGTTTATTGATTACTTTGGTTTGTATAAAAACCCAGTGTGTTTGTAAATAATGATTCATACCACTGAGGCTGTTATTGGTGTTTGGACTTAACTGGCTGGGCTAGGCAGATCGCAGGACCGGTTAGCACTCTAGTATGCTCGTACGGGTTTCGTGTCACTGTTCCAGTCGATAATTCGCTGCTCTCTAATTGGCGGCCTCATCAAGTCACACATAAACTAGGCATCCACTCGGCCACAGATATAACACAATGCCTATAAAAACAATCCAAGTTGAATGCGACCGCGTAGTCCCGTAATAGTACTAAACGATCATTTAGTGCTTCCAGGTTTTTAACCGTGGTTTCAGGCCAGTTAGTGATTCAAACTATGAGTATTCCACAATCCTCACAAATTCCCCTACAATAAGCCAATTTTACTTGATTTATGGAGCAGATAAATAAATGAATGATTTGGAATCATAATGTGCTGTGGGACAAGTAACACTTATTATCGTCAATTTGTAAATTATCATAAGACTACACATCCTCGATCATACAGCCGTTAGCAAATGCAACATGAAACGACTACTATGTGACAAACATTCCGTGTGGAAATAATTATTAAGCGAACCAGTATTTAATAACCACAGCGTGGTCAGACAGTATTAAAACTTGATATCAAGCTCAAAAAATAGATTTCCATGACTCCCAGTAAGTTATTGGAAAAGCTTTCAATTTCTTAATTTACGATAGGAACTGTTGTGTCACTTCAAAGACGTGACTATGATTATCGATCTGTCATGCTTTGGATAAACGTATCGACTAAATTGACAATCTATCTATTAGGAATGATTGCGTATTACTCACTGCGGCACTGCCCGTTCAAATTGGGATGGAAAATTTATTAAACTGCCTGAGATTAGTCTGCCTAACATGAGACTGGAGCTGTTCTAGTAAATACGAAATCACCATTCTTGTCAGAGTAGACCAATAGCGTCTTTATTGAGGACAGAGACGATAAACAAGTCTTACAATGTAACCTTCGTAGTCATGTGACTGTGTACAATCAAATTAAAAGATTTGATTGTGTGGCAAATTGTCTATTATAACCACTCACCACATATTTCAATTATTTTGTCAGACCGAATAATTTATGCCCTTAAATATTAAAAAGCGTCTAGAAAATGCGACAGCAAGTCAGATACCGTTAGCGCTTTCATTCAATCAGCATGTAAATTAGTTTACGTTAGGTTACATACGTATTCGGGCGAACTTGAGTTCTAGAAAAGTTTTCGTAGTTGTGGACACTACAGCTTTGGTGATAATAGGTTGAAATTAAACGTCTCAAGAACATAGACCTAGAACACAGAAGAAAGGCGGCTGTTCTTACAGAAAAAGTAGACACTTTAGTCAGCGTCAAAAAAGTAAGTACTTTGTTGGTTACAGGACTTCTAGACAAATTTCACAAAAAGCAACTGAAACGATAAGACCCACTTAATCGGACTTATTGTAGGACGGGAGGACTATTGCTTAATTTTGAGTAACGATTGACGTGTTTTCACCAAGGACCTATAAGCAACTCAATCAGAAACCCGAAAATCATGACCGGATAAAATTAGGTTGCCTTTCTCGAGTAAAATCTGAGGACAAATTTGTCAAAAAACTCCTCTGACCAGAAACTAGTTTACGCGGTTATAAGATTCGCCCTAGTGCAACTTGTAAAATAAGCAACTATGCATTACCCAGGCTCAGAATCATCCTTACTTGATCACATATTGACCCACTACAAAGATGAAGCCACAAACCTCCAGTATTTGCCACCCTTAGGTAGGAGTTACCGCGAAGTCCTAGTCTTCGATTTTTATAACCCTGTCTACAACGATGTGTTAGCCTAATCGTCTGGAAAGCAAATATACAGGGACTGTACACTTGTTATAATGGACAATAAAGTCACGTACTGAGACGTTTAGGGATATAGTCAGAAATTTATACACATGTCACTGCACCGCATATCGCTTGGACTACACTAAGGAGCTCGCGGGACTCTTCACGGTGGTTCACCAAAGAGTTTCACACACTTCCTCGTATAAGAATATGGGGGGATTTAGGTTGCCTAGTACTGACGAAAATTCCAAATCCGGTAAGCTTGAAGCATGTGCGCCTCGACTCTCAGCCAGTCTAGAAGATTGTATGAAGAGTTTGCTAAGGTGTCTGTAAAATACTATAAACGCTAATTAAGGGACTGAGAGAAGAGGCAGCATACCACGGTCACGGGTAGATATTAGTACTGCATCAACAGGTAGGGATGATTATGGTGAAGCTCACGTATTAAATTACTTTTGCAATGTATACACTATAATGATGCCCTGGCCTAGTTTTTAGTGACCGCTGCCCACACACTCTGAAGATTATAGAACTCGATATCTTTTATCTGCTAATTAGGCTTGCAATTAGAAAGACTTTATGGAACCCGCTGGAATGCATTCTAGACTACTAAAGGAATAGATAGATTTTGTTGCGAATCCATTAGCCATATGTTTGAATCTATCAACAGCCTAAAATATAATACCAAAAGACTGGAACAGAGCATCAAAACAGAAACTACTGATCTGCAGGCTTAACAAAACTTACGACGATTATTCGGAAGTTGTCCAAGCATCTAGACAAAAAGCCGGATTCTTAGAGACAAAGGTTTTAGAACAGGTTATTCATGCCTTAGCGGTAGCCGGTGGAAATTAGTGCGCTCCCAAAATAAAACCAAAGGTTTCAATGCAGCCAACATTGACTTAAGTATGGCCTTTCACAAGGTTCCTAACAGTCAAAAGCTACGTGAGATATCGGATATGGGGTTAGAGGTCATTTTTATATGCGGATAAAAAACTTCCTAGTTGGGCGGCAACAAGGAGTATGAGGCGAATAGGTTATCTAGTTGTTAAACTGTTTAGAGGAGTGTCTTAATGTTCAGCTTTGGGGCGTTGTTCTCCCTGTATCCAAAAGGCTTTCTTCGCCTGAGTTAACCTACTTTGCTATAATACTGAAGTATTAGAGAGCGATAAAAATGGAGGCATGATTTCGGTATCCTAAAATTAGCTTCGGAAGTCATGTATATTATCCAAAATTCATCATTTACCGATAAACGCGTACAAGTGCATTAGGATGTATAATGTCCACCAAAGTACAAATACATAGTGATTTACACCGAGCTTTAAGTTGCCCGAAGATACACTGACTTGAAGTCATCGTTAGCCGAAGCTTACAATCACTGCATACTTCTATGCGATAGCTGCGAAAGGATTTAGATGCCTATGGTCAATACTAGAGTCGTTGCTAAATACTTTTTCACCTTGATGAGGCGTTTATGCCTTATAAACTGAAGTACTGCATACAATTGTCTAGTTTCTGCTCAAAAAGGTACAGAGTTATTGGAAAAAATACGAAGAACCCCAACTAGGCTGATTCCCTAAAATCGCAAAGCCCTCGTGTGATAAACTAAATTTATTTCCCTTATCAAATAGAATTAGAAAAGATCACAGTTCTCAAATTACTCAATCACAGATACACATGTCTTCATTTTTCTTGTCTCGTAAAAGACTTTATGCGGACATTGTAAAACAGTTCGCAAGCCCAGAACTAATCACGTGTCAGACGACAATCAACTTTCGCATCAAATCATCAACAAGTTTAATCCATTAACTCATCTGTTGACACTTCAGAAGCCGGACGAAGTGGAAGACTGCAACGAGCCACATACACTTCCAAAACCGAATATATGATCTGTGATGCATCTAAGGAACTGTATTCTTGCAAAGTAAAACGATCCTTGTGTTAAACACATAAATATTGGTGCAACGGGGCACCAGATACATATGCGCCACACAAATCTTATTTGATTCGCATTCGTCCTCTTGATTTCGTAAACAACACCCACGCCGCTAGAAGGCAGTGAGATTTCTCTGGCAGATCGACCGGATCATATGGGACTTAAAGAACAGCTCGACTTTATGGCCCTTCTATGAATGTTACAAATCTTGCACACTTGAGAGGAGTAAATGCCATCAATTTAAACTACTGAACTATGTTATGCTTCGAAAAGGTATAAAAAGCTTTCGGGATAAGACGAGTTTATCTATAAGGCCTCTGTATAGTACAGATGCGTGAATAAAGTGAGTTTTATAAATTAAAAACGATTCAAGAGTTTGATAGAGGTCACAACGAACTGCACCAATTAGGTTAATCTTAGTAATGTCAGTCAGTCAGTCACAACGTAGAACTTCGTACGTACGTACATCAGTTCGAGTTGCCATACCACATTAGCACACAGATGCAGTTGTCGATTCAAATCCCATAGTGGAAGAATTAGTAAGAGTATAAGCAGTAATCGGAAAGATTAGAGTTTGAAGATGTTATTGAAGGAGTATAGTACAGTGAAATATATTTGGAAAGAGAAAAAGGATACGAACATGAAGAATTCAGAAGATTAGAATTTGGTAGAACACAAAGAGTGGATGCATCTTCGCCATTGCAAACGATTTTGAGCCATGTCATTCAAGGTCTCTAACCATCTTAGTAATACATCTATAAAAGTCGTAATGATGAACTCAAAACCCACTAGCTAACCTCATAAGAAAACTGCGAATCAAACTTTCAAAGCACACATACACTACGAGACTAAGTCGTATGCAACCGACTGCACAACTTACGGTACCTCGTCCAATGTCAGCTGTTCCGAAGATGTAGTTTCTCTCAACCACGAATCTTGCATCCAACTGTGATACTTTGGAACATGGACATGAAGATATGGGACCATAAACAGTCGAGGTGTTTCCAATACTGTTTCTTGATTTAATCTCATCCCTAAGCAAAATGTAATTTAACAGTTAACACCCCATTTTAATCAAACATGAAAAAGAAGTCTGAGTACCAAATACATGTAATTGTACAATTAGTCTGTCTTTGTTGTTCTTGTGTATATCTGCTGTGAATTATGTTTGCAGACCATTTTTATGGAACCTAGAACAGGATTTGAGATAGTAAGACAATGAACATACCTCGTCGCCACAGCTCCTCGAGAGCATGACGTGCCAGAGACGCCCGAATTTTTAAGCGTTCTGACACAACAGAAGGTGTTATAACCTTGTACTGAGGAACTTCTTTTAGTAGCTTTTCAAAAGTTGCATTGTCGAACAACACCATATTAGCTAGTTTATCCCGAACTTTTCCCTTCGACCATTTTTTCTTCTTTGCTTTCCCACCACCCTCTTTGGGTTTCATAGGCTTTTTTGATGGCTCTTTCTTCCCACCTTTCGGTGCTTGCTTTGGTGGCTAAAGACATAAGCTTACGTGGACTCCGACACTTACCATGCTTGTAGAGCGTGGGGAAGCTAACTCGTCAAATTGGCACCGTCACCCGCCAAAGGACGCTACTGATGTACAATGTCTCAGTACGAAACTCAATGTTTATATTATGACAGAATTACCCTAAAATGCATTTTTCTTACATGTTTCACTTCAGTTTGACTCTGCTGGTGGCACTTTATTCTGTACATTATATCACATTACTTCTCAGATACTTGAGAAGCAGAATGAAATGTTTTGGCAATACTGAATTTTATGGATAAATCGGATTCAGGTTTGTGCAGTAAGAACAGAAGGCTAATGGCCTATCTTATGCCTTTTCAAGCGTGCTTCTGTGAGTGCCTAGTCTTCTTCTGGACGGGTCATTTAAGGGGGCGTAAACCTCTGCTTGGGGTTACAGGCTCCAAGGATTAATAGTTCAAACGGTTCAAATGGTTGTGGACGGAATAGAAGAAGCTTTCGCTTAACGGGTTTCCGTCTCTAGTAGCAGGAGATCACCAATACCTCCAGGCAAGAAAGATAGGTATATTAACGATAATAGAAGGAAAAAATCGGTAAATCATAATAATATGTTATCCTTAGTCCTTAAGAATAGGTCAAGTTGCCTATTAGAGGGCTCCTGGAAAGTCGCTTGGACTAGCTGAGTCTGCAGAGAATTCCAGCATTTGACAACTCTTACGGAGTAGGAGTTGTGTCTACAATCTGTTCCGCTATTTTGGGTCTCTAGTTTCTGGGTGTTTCCTCTCAGGTTAGTGTTGTGGCTAAGCTTAAGATGTTTAAGAGGATGACTAGAAATATTAAGGATACTGTAAGTCATAAGGTCACCTCTAAGACACCTGTATTCTAACGGGTAAAGGTTAAGTCATTGGAGGCGCTCTTCATAAGGCTCGAATTTCAGCCCCCTTAAAATGTCGGCTTTCAGCATTGGGAACTCTACTCTACCTGTGAGTTCATTTTCATAAAGTAAAAAGAGTAAAAGACCCAGGACAGAAACTGGCGGAACTCAACTAAGTACTGGTTTCCAGTTGGAGCACTTGGAATTTACTCTTACTTTCTGTCTACGACCTACCAGGAAATCCTTAAGCCATCTTAAGAGAGGGCCGAAAATGCCTAGATTTCCCAGCTCCAAAAGCGGTCCCTTTGTTGGCACCTTGTCAAATGCACGTATTAAAAATTTCAATTCGATACATGAAGTAGATGCGTCAGAGAATCTTACATTAGCTTTTTCAAGCGATGAGCGTAAATGAGCCTAACATCACAAAAGGAGGGAGGGTGGAGTTACTGACCAGCAAGCACTGATGGTGTGAGCGATGATTTCAATCCACCCGTGTTTGTGGGCAGAACATTTTGTTTGTAACAGGCTCTTTATGGATGAGAACAAGTCAATAGATCTGTGATATTGAGATTGTTCACCTACACTCACCATTAAGACTGATGCTTCTAATTTTTGTGCTGGATTAACTATTCTACTAAGACAACCTTTAGCATGCTAACTCGGACTTTTACATGAACACTGTGTGGCAGAATAGATTATTCGGATAGCTGTTCTAAACTATATGGAAGGGAATGGTCTCTAAGCCAGGTAAAATCCTGGTTTTGAATGAGGTCTTTTATATTTGACAGGTCTCATCGCAGTAGAAGATTTGACAGCAGCGAATGTAATATCCCAACAGATGCAATTTTCATAGGTCTAAGCAAGGAATTAGACAAGATCTCCCATCCGATAAAAACCGAAACTGGAAATTTCGGGGATCCATTATAGAATTAGAAACTTAATAAAAGACCTCAATAATAGGAGACAACAAATATGGGAAAACGGGGCCTTGTCAACACAGGAATCTGTAAAAAGTAGAGTTCATCAAGGCATAACCCTCAGGCTTTTTTTTTTCCACTCAATGTAAACGATTTACCAACTATAGAAAATTTATCTGTTGGACTGTTTGCCGATGACATCAGGGTTTGGAGACCCATAAACAGAACGTCGGAGAAGATAATATTACAGGGTGTACCCGATTCACTGGTTGAGTGGATGTGTAGATGGAGACGAGTCACGATTGACTATAATCACCACTACAGGAAGATTATGCGCCAGGTATCGAGGTGGATCCCTCGGTAGGCTGAAAACCAGAAGGCTGTTAATGGTTGCAATAAGATATATTTTTTGGGGATCTCGCGGTATCGAAAGAATACCGAGACGTTCCAAAGTTCACCGGCGGAAATGCCGAGTATAGGCAAGTTCGTGCAAGGTTACAGGCAACGGAAGGAAAAGTACATTTTGTAAACAAACAGGTACAGTTAAACAATCGCTGGTACAATTGGTTATAATAATAATTAAAGACTGACCAGTTGCAGTCCTAAACACATCGATGGGAAGATCCAAACAAACAATACTAAGTGAATTATAATAATAATTGTTTCCATTATAACAATCGCTTTCTTGTCAAAAAAGTCGGTCACTACGGATTGTCACAGGAGGTTAATTCATTCAAGGGTGTAGTGAATCAAATAAATAACCTCGAGGATTTGCATAACTTCATAGCAAGTGAAATTATGTTATCTAGGTTAGTGAACTATGAAGATTATTATTATTCGAAATCGACTTATGGGGACGTAAGTTTTGTGAAGAAACCATTTTGGTTTTCTCCAGAAACGCATTAATACACAGGTTTCAATAATGTTAGCATGATACTTGCCATATTAAAGAACAGGTTCTGCACAGTTGGAAAGAATATTGAACATTAATCAACCCCTCACCTGCATAGATCTGGTGCAAACGAACACATCCACGTCCCACACAGACATCATAGGCTTTCTACATATATAGACTGAATTGCCTTATTTTCCTACCTTGTAGTTGTATTAGATACTTTCCCCTCACTAATTCTTTTCAATTGAAGTAGACAGGCAACTCACTGGATCTATCAATACTCGGTCGCTAAACGACGCTTATAAATACCCTAAAACACCAGAAGAAACGCACAATCGACTGACTACTGCCAGTGGTCGTACAACCACAGAACCTGTCACCCATCAACCGGTTAGCATAGAACAAAACAACCTCAGCGCGAATTTAGTGTGAGTTACTTCTTGTCTATTTACCAGTTTTTCACTCATCTGTACACTACGTTGCCTTGCCATTAATATTATTTCACCACTCGTTATCTTACCTTATCTGTAACTAATATAAATCTCCACTTTTCCGCCTACTATAGTAAAGAAATATCCTACACTATACCCTTCCTAATGCCTATACTCTGATTCGTAACCTACACTTCACTATATAGTCAATAAAAACATTGCATCGAAGTCTTACCCATAGTCCATAATTTGTAACTGTCTGGTAAGCTTGTAACATGGTACTTATAGAAATAGTGTTTTCCAACAGGATGTGAAACACAGAGCACTGTGTGAGGTATGATATGTATCCAAAAAAATAAGCGTAAATGAGCCTAACATCACAAAAGGAGGGAGGGTGGAGTTACTGACCAGCAAGCACTGATGGTGTGAGCGATGATTTCAATCCACCCGTGTTTGTGGGGCAGAACATTTTGTTTGTAACAGGCTCTTTATGGATGAGAACAAGTCAATAGATCTGTGATATTGAGATTGTTCACCTACACTCACCATTAAGACTGATGCTTCTAATTTTTGTGCTGGATTAACTATTCTACTAAGACAACCTTTAGCATGCTAACTCGGACTTTTACATGAACACTGTGTGGCAGGCATCGGATGAGAAAAGAAAAAAAACTGACTGTAAAGGATATGGTTGCTATTTTACTCAATGCTCTACTCTCTATATGCACTCTCTGTTCTTCCTCATTCCAACCTTGACTTCCCTCCTTCATTGGAACCTACTCCACCTTGATAAATATCCCAACTCATTGTTCTTTATCACTGCCTTCTCTCTTCTGGAGCCCCTAATCGCAGTTTACTCTTGCAACATGAGCTAGTATCAATTTAATCTAATAATTTATCATACCTCCATCTGTTCCACTAATAAATGTTAAGCATTGGTTATCGCTCATATCCAAATGCCTTGCTTCTCCTCGGTTTCTCTTTTATTTTTTCTCTTCAAAATCTTGCTCTGAGGGTGAAGCTATGTAACTTCGGACATCTGGAACAAGCTTGACGAACGCGCTTTCCCAAGGTCATAGCTCGAACCAGGCGCTCCACAAGCCTACTTTATGACAACTATAAACTTAAAAAGCTGCATTACATAAATACTTAGCACTACCGAAACCCTATTACACTTTTTGTCGAGATTGGATCTGGTATATAACGTGGACGCTATGCCCCTTTGGAAACTATTCTTATGAAAACACATTATATCTGAACGAATGAACTGCTATCAACTTTTATAGATTATAATTACTAAACAACCTTGCTTGGGATGCATACTGTGAACCAGTATATGTTGTAAATTGTAGATCATGCCTGTAAAAATGGCGTGTACCTGCTATTGCAGAAATATATTATTATTATTATTGAAAGAAGGAAAAGGAGAAACTTAAGGGAATAGAAAGGAAGGAAACGCGAAATTCGTAAATAGTTCAATTAAAGTGTTTGTGAACACAGAACAAGAGTAAATGATTGTGTATGTGATATAACGGGAAGAAAAGTCAAGATTAGATTGATTTACTCATCATGAATTTTCAATATTACTTCCGTTTTAATTCAATTTAATGATTACTCAACGTTGTATTTGTTTTGTTTTCCCGTATGACATTTTATTCTGTATAACATATGTTATTCTTGTGTTTACTTGACATGAACTATGCTCAGCATGACATGTAGCATATGATTTGTTATAACTGTAAGTACTTTCCGCATGTGTGACTCCATCCTAATTAGTCATCAAAATGGGTGTACGAATCAATATATAAGTGAGTGTATTTTCGACAAGGTCGCCGTCGTCGTGTTTTGAGGTTAGTGAATCTTCAGTTTTACCAGTCTTCGTGTTCTTACTTTGGTGTCTTGGGAACCCCCAGTGGTTCCTCGTTTTTGAATATAAGTGATAAGCGGTTCTAGGATAACAAAGTAGCGTTCAATCAGCATGTCTTACCAGTATGTACCGTAAAATGATTAAACA